AAATGTATCTCATAAATGAATAAATGAATGAAGAGATTACCTGTACTTGAAGAGGTGAGGGAGGAGAGAGAAGAGCAGAGATTTCAGAGGCACACGCCAACCCAATAGGGCAAACGGGCTCCATTGAAGGTTGGAAGAGAGTGAGAGTGAGAATGAGTTTGATGTCAGCAACACAACAAGGGTCACAAACACATGACGGCGCTCAAAAACCACATAGTACCTGCTATAACAGTAACATCAGAAGGTTTTAATTTATTGGCGTGTTTGTTCTCAATGTCAAAATACCAATCTGTTTGTGATACAAATAAATATTATGTGTAGGAATAAGAAACATTGTAGTTTTTATATTCTTTAATATACTGGTCTATTTTTTAATCTAATACGTTAATAACTTTTAATAACAACTTTTTAATAATAAATCACGTGTTATTATTTTGACTTGTTTAAATTTATTTTTAAAAAGATATTTGAAATAGATTCATTAAAAGTCGTAAAAATATTGTTAAGAAAATATATTTTTTTAATACTTTCAGTTGTTTTTAATTTGATTCGTATATTTTAAGGTAAATTATTGACAATGCCATGCGACGATTTCGACATCCCTGAAAGAGCCGTGAAAATGATCGATAAGTAAAGAGTTAAATTGCAAACTTACTCTGTAAAAAAGGGGCAATAAGAAAAACTGAGTATTATGTATGAAAGTAAAAAAAAAAAGATTGAGAAAAATATTTTCAACTCAATCTCATTGAAACTTCTCATAAGCCAGTCCAATTTGTTGTATTATTTCTTCTAAACTATCTATTTCAAGATAACAATTTTAACACAATTACTCACTGTTCTATGAATCATTATTTAGATTATGAATCCTTTAAATGAGTATGCCTACTCATTTCGTAAAAGTTCTTATTTCCATATGTCTTATGAAAAAAGTATTAAAGATATATATACTTAATGATTATTCATTTAGTCACTTGGTTTTCGGATGGTCAATCATATATTAGATTATCAAGCGAGTTATTAACGAACTCGAGACCTGTTGATAAACTTAAAGGTAAAATATAATTATGCGTAATTAGATTATAAGTCAATATTAATTAAAAGTTTATCTTAAAACTTATAAATAGAAGTTTGAGATAAGGAGGTAGGTGATTTGTATTTACTATGCTATTAATTCTTAATTGTCACTGTTGAGTTGACTTTAGCATCAGAATGTCTTTTCCAGGTACACTTCGAGTGAATTAGACGATCAATTCAACTTAGTACTTGGATTTTAGGACACCATTCAGACTTTGGATGACTCATCATAACTTAGATCGTTGACCTCGACCCTATACTTGGCTTTATTCAAGGAGACCCGACTGGTGGCGCAAAAGAAAAGTCATCTGGGCGAGGAAAAAAAGAAGGTCATTGAGGTCGAGGTGAAGAAGTTGGAAGAGGCCAATTTTATTCGAGAGGTTACATACACCACATGGCTGACAAATGTGGTTATGGTGAAAAAGCTAAGCAGACAATGAAGGATATGCACTAACTTCATTGACCTCAATAAGGTCTGCTTAAAGGATGCTTACCCTCCCTCCAATATTGATGGACTAATGGACAACGCGTTAGGCCATCATATCCTTGACTTCCTGGATGCATACTCTAGGTATAATCATATACATATGTATCATCCTGACAAGGATAAAACGACCTTCATCATCGAACAAACAAACTATTTCTATGAGGTTATGCCATTAAGTCCGAAGAATGCTGGAGCCACATATCAACAACTCATGAACAAGATCTTCCACCATTAGATAGGCCCATGAATGGACGTTTATGTGGATGACATTGTGGTAAGATCCCAATTGGCCGAGGAGCATATAAAATATCTGGTAAGGCCTCTGATCAGATCAAGCACTACAACTTGCGGCTGAACCCCTCCAAGTGTACTTTTGTTGCTTGAGTAGATAAGTTTTTGGGCTTCATGCTTACCGCATGGAGCACTGAGAAAACCCAAACAAGTGCTTGACCATCCAAAATATATGAAGCCCATAAAACCTAAAGGAAGTGTAGGGTTAGTGGGTCGCCTAACCTCTCTCAGTTCATTCCCTAGTTAGCCAACAAAATAAAACCTACCTTAAAGTGATGAAGAAGAGCTCTCTCATCAAGTAGGACAAACAATTTGAAGCCAAGTTTGTGAAAGTAAAGACTATCTTGGCCAACATGCCCATCATGGCAAGGCTAGTCGCGGGAAATGAGTTGTAGCTCTATCTGGCCATCGTTGATGAAGCGATAAGTGCGAACTTTGATCTAAAAGGCCCCCGAGCATAAACTAATTTCTTTTATCATTAGGGTTCTATAGGATGCTGAGATGCACTATTAGCAAATTGAGGAGGTGGCGCTAGTGTTATTCATGACAACTCGTCGACTAAGGTCATATTTCTAGAGTCATCAAATGGTCATCTGCACTGATCATGTTATCACAAAGATTCTAAGGAAGCCTGATTTAGTCGGATGAATGGTGAGATATTCAGTTGAGCTATCGAAGTTCGGCCTTCGGTATGAACTGCGGACTCAATAAGGGTAGAGGAGTTGGTATTGTACTCGAAGGACCAAATAATACAATAATAAAACACTCTTTAGTGTTCAAATTTAAAATTTCTAATAATCAGGCCGAGTATGAGGCCTTAGTTGCAGGTCTCACCTTGGCTAAAGATGTGAGAGTAGATCAAGTGGATTGCTAAACAAACTTCGAGTTGGTGGTCAAGTAGAAGAATGGAAATTCCAAATCAAGGATGATATACACCTCGAGTACTTCCACAAAGCTACACAATTGATCAAGGCCTTTGAAGTGGTGGATGTAAAACACATCCCTCAAGTAGAAAATGCAAGAGCAGACACGTTGTGCAAGCTTGCAAGCAACAAGGAAAAGGAACAATTGTCCACAATGATAAGACAAGTGTTGGCAAAGTCAACAATGGAGTACATGTCCACATCTGTAGTTGAATAGAAGGATTGAAGGGAGAACATCAAGACCTTGATGAGGAAACAAGAAGGAGGCGAAGTCATAAGCCTGACCATTGCCAAAAATATTGCCCAATTCATTTTCATTGGAGAAAATTTGTACGAGAGTCCGAGGACAATAGATCAGACAATCAATCATATCTTCAATTATCAAGCAAGCCATTAGCGGACCCGACTGGTCACCAAGCAAATCAACCAATCATCAATCATACCACATTAACCTTAATGTTGATTAACATAAAGATAAAGTATGATTACCCACAATTGGGTCATGATTAAGTCAACGTTAATTAAAAGTCCACTTTGAAACCTATAAATAGAGGTTTGAGGTGAGGAGGTGAGTGATTTGCATTTAGTGCACTATTAATATTTAACTATCAACGTTAAGCTGACTTTGACATCGCAGTGTCTTATGTAAATAGTTCCAAACAGTTTGGAGTAACAACTAGTACTTGGATTTTGGCACAACATTCAAACTTCGGACGACTCGCCACAATTTAAATCGTTGACCTCAATCACATGCTTGAAACAGTATATAAATTATAAATTTAAAATATAATATTATGTTCATGGTTGACTTTGTTCTTTTATATAAAATAAGTAATTACTTTTATAAAATCAAATATAAATTTAGTAAATGTTTTTCTTTAGAACATATTATTTATTTATATTGTATAAATAAACACCATCCTTATTTTACTAAATTAGTTTTATTAAATTAAATTAAATTTAAATTTTACTATTTTAATATAGTACTAGGATTCATTTTTGTTTTCTCCATTCTTACTTAATAGTTTTTTTTTTTTACTTAACACCTCTAATATATAAATAATAAAGGATATAATTTAATAATATGAAAATATCTTATTCATTATTATCGTATATAGTAATATTGTCAAAATGGTTGTTTCATACTCTTATATATCATTTCAACATGCTTAAGGACTAATTGTTAATCACCTAATGTAATTTGAAAGAGGGCAAAATTTGTTAAGTTTTTATTTCTTTTATTATTTTCTTTCAGGGTCACTACCTTTAAATCAGGGAGATTTATAAATTTAAATATCTTAGGTAGCAATCATCGATCGAGGTAGAACAAAAGAAGATGAAACTATCAAAATAGGTTAAAATTCACGAGTTAATTTTATTCATCACGGATTTGACTCATTAAGAACTTGGCTCACCAAACCACCAACAAATTATAAATATTAAATTATATTAAAAACTGAAAACCATAAAATGCTATTGCTGATCTGAAGAAGACACTACTCGTCGACCATGCTCCTTCATAGATTTGAAGAAGACCATACTCCTTCGCATGCTCCTTCACATATTTGAAGCAGATCATGGTCCTTCAACAATGCTTCTTTGCATGGGTTCCTTGGCAAGCTCCTCTTTTCGATTGTTGCTTTTATGACAACGATGTTACTTTAATCATGTTCATTCACATATTCATTTGATCATGGTAGATCGATCTAGATTTGAATTTGTAATTAAGTGAATTAACCTGTTTAATCTACTAACTCATAGTGAGTCAAACTAAATTCAAATCTTTTAGATTTACTAATAAGTAAACCGTATTAAATTAACTTACTAAGTGACTAACCTATAATAATATGGATGAATGACTCATTTTGACAACTCTTGAAGAAGGGACGACAATGGAAGTAGAGGATTCACACATTTTTGTAAATTGGAGCTAATGAAGACCGCTTTATGCTCAAACTTAAGATTTCTTTTGACAATAAACAATTTAAAAATATGCTTCATAAACTATGTACATTCATTGGCCAGTAAACTATGGTGTTATTTGAGCCACGCCATTGATTTGTATTGGTCATGAGGTTTGTTCTGGTTACCAACTATGCATAAGTTTCATAAGTGTACAACCAAGAATCAACAAACTTCTTTCATAGCCACTCTGACATTGTGAAGATAATTACCTATATGATTCACGATGGTATCTCGTAATGAAACATGATAAAATACAAACCTCCAGTAAAACTTGCCGCCTTGCCGGTTTAAAATATCTGGATGGTATACAATGTAAGGCACAAATTTCAAACCAAAGAGAAAAAATATTAAACTTCTCGAAAGCATCTTCATAAAGTCTTTCACCTAACTAGAGCGAGAACCTTAAATCTTCAATAAAAAAAACTAACTTTGTTCTCATACATCTAGAAAAAACTGAAAAAAAGAACTTGAGGTAAATGTGAAAACCAAGATGCATGGAGGGACAAACTAGGAAACATTTATGAATAACATTTGATCTTTAGTGGTTTTAGAGTCATATGGATCCAAAGAACTGTTCCAGAGATGGAGCACTGAACACATTTGCAGCAGTTCTTTCGGCTTTATAAGGAGATACATGAAGTTGATACTTGATAAACCTCTGCAACATAATTCGTTGTTGATAGTTAGAGGATAAAATTAAGCATGGTGATACTGTTGCTTCAACAACAATAATAACAGTATCACTGATCAGAGTCTAAATTAAATTGACTTGATGGATAAAGTTGAGATGTATTATATATATATATATATATAGCAACATACAGCTAATTGAGAGACAATTTCAGGATTTGAATCAATATGCCAGTCAGGTTCCAATTGCCTAACAAATGATGACCGTCCATTCTCTGTGCTGCAGAACAAAACCTGCATGGAGTTGCCAGAGATCAAAATAGAGTACATAAAAGTTATTAAGAAACGCAAATCTAAGGTAGAGTACTAAGCATTAAATTCAATTAATGGATACTGAAATTATTCATAAGATATATACAGAAGACAATTGTGTGCTACAAATCTGGACTTGTCGATGTCCATTTGTGTTATTAATTTTGCAACATTTGTGTCCTTCTTTTCCTTGATTTTTGAACTAACTCAGAACTTCTGACGGGAGGAAGAAGAACAGTCCCAACAAATGGTTTCAGAAATTAGATGGACCTCTTGAAGAAAACTGATAACAAGCAACGTATGACCCCGAAACATATTTTACCATTTATAGCCTTCTCAACATTAATCAAACTTCTTCAGGGAAAAGATCAGAAAACTAAAGGTTCTCTCTCCAAGCGTACTCTTTAGATTAGCATAGATATTCCTTAGAACATTTCTAATCAAGATGTTTGCCAATACAAATTTTAATCAGAGAGGAGATTTCTGTAAGATAATTTTAATACATTTTGAATAAAGGTGAATAAGATACTCCTATGTTGTCCATCAACATGTTTATTGCATACAAAAGGATGTTCACATAATGGAAAATATTTGTTTATATAAAAAAATGGTTGAGACAGAGCCCAGAAATACCACAGAAGAAAGTAATTAAGTTTCACAGAGAAAAAAAAATAGTGTAACTGCTTCATGCTCGTTCTCATACCTTGTCCTTGACCAAACCACCTGAAGTGAATATCCCTGCTTCTTCCAATGCTACAAGAACTCTTTTCTGCAAAAAACAATCCAGATATACAGTGTAAACATTTTAACAATAAGGCATACTACAAGGTGGCAAGGGAGATATTAGAACTAATGGTTTGCTTGGATTTGAAGATGGATTTGGGGAAGTGAATTTGAGAAGAAAAGGAGGTGAAGGTGGGATTGTTTGAATTAAACGAAAGTTGAAAGTTTGTGTATGATACAATGAATATGATATATTAAAAAAATGTTTTAATAGATAAAATTAGATGATTCCCATTTTATCCTTGAGGATAAATATGATATAAATTTACATATAAATAGTGAAAATTATATTAAAATGAAATTAAAGTTGTTATTTAAAATTAAAAAATTATTATTATTTTATTCAGTTTTATATTCAACTTTAATTTCAGTTTTATATTCAGGTTTTTCGTTTTAGTTTTTTCTTTTTCAACTTCATTGGTTTCTTCAGTGCAGGGGCAGCGCCAGGTGAGTTTGTCCCCCAACCTCTGGCATCAAGCACAGTTGCCTCTGTAAGGATATTTTCGTTATTATATGATGCTGGGGTGACTTTCCTTGCAAAACTTTGCATTTAGCAAGGATATGAAAAACACACATCACTCCTTTTCCGCACCTTAAATCTTCGCAAATACACAGAAACAAACAAGGGTCTCACCCACAAATCAATCCACATGAATAGTACTTCCGCAGATCCAAACACATGCTAAGAAAAAAATTAGTCAAGCGAATAAAAAAAAAATCCTTCACATAAAGTAGCAAAAAATTGCGTTATTTTAGAAATAAAAAATAATATTAATAATCACTGTGGGAATGTTTCAAATAATCTTTTACACGAAAAATTTAAGAACTCGTAGCAGAAAATTACATTTCAATTTATAGGCAAAATCTTCTAAACAAAAAATTTAAGAACTGGCAGCAGAAAATTACATTTTAATTTATAGGTAAAATAATCTTCATTTGAAATTAAGGACTAAAACGAATCATGTTGGCCCAAGCAAACTATACAACATGTTTGCTCGCTTTTATAAAATCATTTGGTTGTAAAGAACATTTCGAGAGAGTAGGAAGGTTTTCAGCATATAATGTGAAGTGTTAATGCCATTATATTCAACGGATAAGAGACATTACGGTACTGGTATAAGCTGACAAATGACACACCTCACTTTCGTCATCCAGAACTCGTTCCATGAGATATAAATCGCAAAATTTTGTTATTTCCAATAATACTTCTAGCACAGAGGATTTCACAGTGACTTGTTTCTGCCAAGAACAGAATGAATCACATTAGTATCTTTCTGTGCATTGATGTCATAAAACAAAAGTATAAATTAAAGGGGCAATTTCATCACCTGCAGTTCCTCTGGACTACTTTCCTCGAGGATCACTCCAAGAAGACGACAAGTTACCTACATAGTACATACACGCATTGACCGTAACAGTCGGGAAGCATTAGTCACATGCAAACATTTAATAACTAACAACACTAATGCGTAACAAATGTCCTCATTTCATCAAGAGTCAACCAAATTATAACAAAAAATGTTGCATAAAGAACAAATTTTTCACCTGAAAGTAAACATAAGAAATAGCTTCTATTTCTAAATAGTTTTATTTGCAACCTAAAATTTTAGATTAAATTAAAGAGTATATGTTCTGTGTTGACCATTCAGTAAGGAGATTATCACAATCATTGAACTTCAAAATTAAAATTGAAAGACTGTTGATAAGTAACAATGCTCATTCCATTAACAAGAGGTGTTTTTTAGGAGTAATTTGATGTCATCACTAGCCCACCTCCATTTGATTATCAATCCAAGGGAGAATAGAAAGGTGACAGGGGGCACACATTTAATAACAATGGCTAAAGCACTTGACGTCCTCCTCTCATTCAGTTGGTGTTTATGTAAGAATGGATAGCAATAACAACAAAAACAATTTACAGCAATCTTCCAAAACCTTTTTAATTCACACTCAGAACTTCAAAAAGTGATTGCCCAACCCGTGTAAATGTCATTCAAATCTAATCTGTAAGGCTATGACAGATTTGTTAAGCTTTCATTATATTAAGATCTAAGTGGTTGTCCAAGATAGATATCTCTTATCATCACAAGAAACATTGATTTCTATAAGCCCATAACAACAACAAACTGTGCATGGCCTCATTAGTCCAAAGGAATAACAGAAAAAGCATATTTCATTACCTTTCTTCCTTCACTCAACTTCTGTCTAACAATCTGCCCCAAGGTTGGCTGAAAAAGTTGAAGAAGAAGCAAGCTCAGAATTGCCATCCACCCTAAAGCTACCAAACTCATCCAAACTTGTCTTTGCATTAATTCAAAAGCATTTATACATTGTCACAACTGCAAAATTGAAAGCCATAAAATCATTTACCTTGTCTGGCTGGAAGAACTCGTCAACAACATTTTGTGCCCTTGAATCATCTGAGGGTGAACAAGCATTTGAAGGAACCGCCGACAAATTAGAATGTGTAGCGACTCCAGGATTGCTAGATGAAGCACCTTGCCGTTTTTGTTGCCTCCGTTGAGTCCCAGAAGGAGATCTCAACAGCCTCCATGTGAAAACAATTGCAACAGCAAGACCAGCAACTGCCCCAAAAGAGCGTATATCCTAATACCAAGCATAGTATTGCCCAAATTATTGGAAAAGACATGCTCAAAACAAATGCCAAAACAATAATTTGATCATTTATACCATACACCTTCACTGAAATAGATAAGTAGCACCAGATACTAATCATTTTCATCTTCCCTACTCTATTTTTCAGCACCCAAAGTACCGATTTTAACAAACCTATTATGATGCATCAGAAGAAACTTATTTTTTTCTTTCAATTTTGACAAAAACATAAAAACCACCCCTTTCTACCCACACCCAACAATAAATAAACTATGTAAAGAAAACCCAGTTGAGTTTTATCACAGATAAATAAACTTTGAGAGCTAGAATTGATAATTACACAATCCCGGATCACACCCATTCATTCAACGATAAAGGGTCAAAGAAAGCACCCAAATCGAAACTTCAAACAAAGAGTGAATACAAGAAAAGCAGGAACGAATAATTACGAATTAGGCAAGCGACAATTAGCAAAAAGATAAGATTTTAAAATCAAATCAGATCCAATCGAAAGACGGGCCGATCAATGAATTTTAAAAAGAGTAAAATTGAGCTTAAAGAAAGGAAGCGAGTACAGAGAGAGACAGAGGGAGAGAGAAAGAGGGAGAATAGAAATACGAGGTTCTGGAGAGAGACAGGGAAAAAATTGGAGATCTTGAAAGTGACATAAGCTCCGAAGCGTTTGATAAGGTGGATGAGCTCCTGTTTGGAGGTGTCACCGTTCCCGCCGGTAGCCATGGCTCGCCGTCGCCGGAATGCTGAAATCGGAGGGAAAGTCCAATTGCTGAGCGGCGATCAGTGTGAGGATTTTGCCGAGAAAAGAAGGAATGAATGTTGGAAAGCCAAACCCAAACAGATTATTTCTCTGCGTCAACGACCGCTATAAGCTGCCGTCAGAGCTTACCGATTTGCTCCAAATTTCTCAATTTAACGTTACGGTTGTTTGGGGACAATTACCAAATTACATTCACATTTCTCATTTATCAATTGGAAATGAAATGTATTAAATTAACATTTTTTATTTCTTACAGGAGACTTTTTTATTTATTGGGTTACAGTTTTAATTTATTTAGTGAACTTTTAAGTTTACAGTAAAATTTAGTATTTCTAAAGGAAATTTTTTCAAATTTGTTGGGATATTAAATACTTAACTATTTTATATTTTTTACTTAAATTTTTATTATTTAATTTTTCTATTAATTAACTTATATAATTAAAATATTTTTTCGTCAATATTTACAAACCATTAGTTATATAATCTAAGAACCAGAAGAATTAGTTTACAGGGGACATATGTTTTATGTAAAGATCTAGAGAAGTCAGCTTTGGGAGTGAACAAGTGACACCAGATAATGGGATCGAACATTTAATAATAAAATAATATTGATATATATAAACGTTGAATTTAAAGTTGGTTTCATTATCTGAGAAACTATTATCACTCTTTAAAGTTTTGTTCTCTTTTCTCCTCCTTCTCTCTACAAATTCTTTCTAAAAATCTAAAAATCTTTCATCTCTCCTCATCTGATCTACAATCAGATTGTGCGTAAGCTATTCTAATGTCAAGGACTTCCATTCTCACCGATCAAACTTGTGTTTTGAACGGGTAAGTTTCATTTCTTGAGTTTTGTTAAAATCTGGAAAATTCTGTCACATGCAAGGTAGTCTGGCTGCTTGCATGTGTTTTTTCAATCTTCTATTCTCCTTTCTAACTCCATTTTGGTCTATTGGGTGGTCTTTTCTCACTAATCGGTGAACTATAGGTGTTCTTAGGATTTTCTAGGGTGAAAGCAATTTCTGGAAAGATAAACGTTTTTCTGTTCATTCAAAGAGGTAAGGAAAACTAGTTAATTTAATTATGATTTATTATGTATGAATATGTTGTTTGATGATTATGCATGTGTGTAAAAGTGAATGAATTGGTATTCGACATTGTTGGACGTGTGCATGTGTGGATAGTTTTGATGTTGGCTTGATTTTTGTGTAATTGTCGAGACCTGTGAACTAGTTGAGAAGTTCTACAGAGTTATGTAGAAAGTCGAGCGCTCGTTGTTGAACGCTCGGTCATGTCAGTTAATTGGGCTTACCAGTATTCGGTTTCATAGTGATATTCGGTCTTAGTGTTGTTCGGTTTAATATTGACTTTCAATTTTAAATGTACTCGTTTTTGACCTCAGCAGTCTTTGGGTTGGTATTATCATTCGTTCTTAGTCGTACTACATTTAGCGTTCGTTATTAGTAGTACTATGTATTAGGTTCGGTTTTGGTAGTATTCGATGGATTATAGCGTTCGATCATACACTAGTATTCGGTAGTCATAGCGATCGGGCTGCTCGGTCATATATTGATTGACCGCTCGGTCATGTTTTGGTACTCGGTCATTAACTAGGTTTGGTCTCTTTAGTCTTACCCGTTCACGACCGTTCGACCTTAGGTGTGTGGATGATTTCTTATTAAGCGCTCGGTCTTGTACTAGCAGTTATGCTAGTGTTAACGCTCGGTCTCGTACTAACGCTCATTCTTGGTAGTGCTCGGTTTCGTACTAGCGCTCATTCTTGGTAGTGTTAGGTTCTGTACTAGCGCTCGTTCTTGGTAGTGCTCGGTCTCGTACTAGTGATCGTTCTTGGTAGTGCTTGGTCTCGTACTAGCGCTCTTTCTTGGTAGTACTCGGTCTCGTACTAATTCTCGTTCTTGTTAGTGCTCGGTCTCATACTAGAGATGGTTTTTGGTAGTGCTCGGTATTATACTAGCAATTATGATAGAGTTAGCTTTCGGCCTAAGCTATATGTGTTCGGTATAAGTTCAAGTGTTTGACTCCTACTTGAGTCTTACTCTCTAAATGACCATTCGGTCATGTTCGCATGTAGGGAGAGTTTCTTCCGTTCGGCCTTGTTTATAGGTTGTGTTGATCTTTTCTGTTCGGTCGTGCTCAAAGGTGGGGGTTGTTTTACTGTTTTGTGTAATTTTTATTTAAGGATGTTATGGATGAGGAAGTATGATAATTCTAATGTAATATGAAGGTATGATGAGATATTTATAATATGGATATGAAAGAGAATTCCAAGGAGGAATGTCTCGGTGGTTGGTTTCAATGTGATAAAAGTATGAATATGGATAGGCTAAGTTGGCGTTCACCCTGACATTCTAATGGTCACCGAGTCTCAAGTAGAGAATGGTGATGCATGTGGTGAGAATAGCAGGAGGCCTGGTCGCGTATAGCTTGGGGTTCCGACTAACGGACTAAACTCATGTTGTAGCTTGCGATTTCCAGCTACAGTGAGGGATGAAGGGCTAACCTCGTGTGGCGGCTTGGGTTTCCAACTATGGTATTCGTGAGGTTTCTAGTTTACCTTTCCACGAGTGCAAGAACAGCCGTAGCTACATATTCATACTAGTCCGGACAGTCAGAGTAAAGTGGTATGTTATAACATGCTTGTATGATTTCTGTATATGTATGATTGTATTATATGTTTGTCTGAATTGTATATTAAAGTAGTTAATTAAATTACACTAGCTTACCCTTATTTTCCTTGTCATATTGTTCGTTCGGTCGTTTGCGTCCTTGCCATGATCACCCTATGGGTGTGAGCAAAGTGCGAAGAGGATTCTCTGGAGCAAGTGCTAAGTGAGGAGTCTTCAACCCCTTAGGATAGGACCGTTCGGTTGATACACCTCTTATATGACCGATCGGTCTGCTCTTGTGGTTTGTATCAGTGTAAGATTTTTGTATGTTTTAACTTATGGTTATTTTAGGATAACTATAAGTTAGCTTTATTTCCTGTAAGTGTTCTATTTTATTGTAAATATAAGTACTCTCAAATATAATTTTAATGTAACATCCCAAAATATATAGTGTAAACTATATTAAAGAGAAGCTACATGCATGATAAAGTAGTACAGTTATCCACCTAGAGTATAAAGTGATATCTTTACAGTCATTCAAAAACAACTATAAATTTAAAACTTTATATACAACTGAAAACTATTCAAAACTATATACAAGCTCTACTAAACTAAAGTAACTACTCAGCAGCATCACCTTCATCCAATGCTTGCTCCAAGGATACCTCTTCTTCCGCTGCTCACATCCAAAGGATGGTCATTACAGAAGAAGAACAACAGAACATACAAAATATAAGCACACAACAGGGTAAGCTAGTTTAAACAAAGATTAATCATACGTCAATTCATTTAACTTCATACAAACATATTATTCATTCACATCACTTAAACTCTTTACACATATAACACTACACTGACTTTGACTATCCGGACTTAGAATGATTGTCGAGCTATGACGGGTCGTACACTCGTAGTGGCTTCTACTGCTTTGCAAAGCCGTTGTCAATGGGTTTCACCCTACCACACTCACGAGGTTAGTCCGTTATCACTCACCTTGGGCCATACTGGAAGCACCCAAGACTAGGACCTCCTGCTACTCCTCACGACATGGATCAATCCTCTCTACTTGATAATGAAAGACCATTGGAGTTTCAGGATAACCCCCAAGACTAAGCTCCTACATCCATTCTAAACTTACTTGAATCTCAACTAGAGATTTCACTTTGAATCACAACATAGGGCACCACCATGTCTCCTCTCCTTGAGGATCATGGAATTACGTCCATTAACCACACTTGAACTTTACACTTTTAATTACAACATACATCAATCACCACAGATATTACATGATACAACTTCAACTTACTTCATACAACACTCATTGATTCATATCAAACAACATAAGAGCACACAAGAACTTGAACTAGAAATGCACCTCTCGCACAACGCACACTTTTGCATAGCGAGGCTATAAGCTTCTCGCACAACGACCTAACTCGCCTTGCGAAAACCTTAGACAAAGACCAACTACTCTTGATCTCTCGCATAGCGACTAAACTTGCTATGCGAATAAACTGTGAAATGCATCAGACCCCAACCCCTCGCATAGCGTCCCAACTCGCTATGCGGGAACCTCATACANAAAGAAAACCCAGTTGAGTTTTATCACAGATAAATAAACTTTGAGAGCTAGAATTGATAATTACACAATCCCGGATCACACCCATTCATTCAACGATAAAGGGTCAAAGAAAGCACCCAAATCGAAACTTCAAACAAAGAGTGAATACAAGAAAAGCAGGAACGAATAATTACGAATTAGGCAAGCGACAATTAGCAAAAAGATAAGATTTTAAAATCAAATCAGATCCAATCGAAAGACGGGCCGATCAATGAATTTTAAAAAGAGTAAAATTGAGCTTAAAGAAAGGAAGCGAGTACAGAGAGAGACAGAGGGAGAGAGAAAGAGGGAGAATAGAAATACGAGGTTCTGGAGAGAGACAGGGAAAAAATTGGAGATCTTGAAAGTGACATAAGCTCCGAAGCGTTTGATAAGGTGGATGAGCTCCTGTTTGGAGGTGTCACCGTTCCCGCCGGTAGCCATGGCTCGCCGTCGCCGGAATGCTGAAATCGGAGGGAAAGTCCAATTGCTGAGCGGCGATCAGTGTGAGGATTTTGCCGAGAAAAGAAGGAATGAATGTTGGAAAGCCAAACCCAAACAGATTATTTCTCTGCGTCAACGACCGCTATAAGCTGCCGTCAGAGCTTACCGATTTGCTCCAAATTTCTCAATTTAACGTTACGGTTGTTTGGGGACAATTACCAAATTACATTCACATTTCTCATTTATCAATTGGAAATGAAATGTATTAAATTAACATTTTTTATTTCTTACAGGAGACTTTTTTATTTATTGGGTTACAGTTTTAATTTATTTAGTGAACTTTTAAGTTTACAGTAAAATTTAGTATTTCTAAAGGAAATTTTTTCAAATTTGTTGGGATATTAAATACTTAACTATTTTATATTTTTTACTTAAATTTTTATTATTTAATTTTTCTATTAATTAACTTATATAATTAAAATATTTTTTCGTCAATATTTACAAACCATTAG